GCTGAGTTGCACACTTCCTGGTCACCCGGGATTCCAAAAGGTGGCGTTTTTGTCATCTTTCCGTTGCAGCCACTAGGAAGAGCTGTTCTGGTGAAGCAGTCTTTGCTTCCCGGAATGTGCTCAGTTGTCGATCTCAGGGCAGAGATCCGCCAGGCAGGCTGTCAACCAGCTCCCCTGGGACCGCCGGCTGCCCTGTGTCTGTTCGGCTGTCACTGATGGTGTAACTAAGCCAGGTGGAAAGACAGTAAACTCAGAACATCTCGGTCCTTTTGGATCCCGGTTGGCATCTCTGAGGTCCGTCTGTCTTCACATAGTACTACCATCAGTGCAGTGAGAGAGAGCTTAGACAGTGAGGGTCTAAAACTGCATTGTAAGGGACCCCGAAAAGGCCGGAGATGTAAGCTCAGTGGTGGGACACGTGCCTCGCATACTCAAGGCACTGTAGAGCAAACACTTACATCAGGACACCGAAGGAGACATTAAAAACCAACAGCCAAGCTGATGACACGCACATGTGTGCTCAGATGGTGACCTGGGAAGCACTTTTCATCTGACTCATGTACAGCCCGCAGCTGCCTGAGCAAAACATTAGTCCGTCCGTCCATCCATCCATCCATCCATCCATCCATCCATCCATCCATCCGGAGACAGGGCTTCTCTGTGTATCCCTGGCTGTCCTGGACTTGCTCTGTAGACCAGGCTGGCCTTGAACTCACAGAGATCCACCTGCCTCTGCCTCCCACATGCCGGGATCACAGGTGGCTGCTGGAGCAGATTAATGCTGTGCAGGTGTTGCCTCCTCCAGCCCCGAGGTCTCTCCTCTCCGGGGAGCTCACTGAAAGCTCCTCCGTGGTCACACCCCAGCTCCAGACAAAGAACTTCCCTGTGGGTGCTGCTGCTCTTGATCAGGGGCCAAGTGCTAACAGGCACCAGCAGCATTGGCTCAGCAAGCGTGGGTCTGGCCACTGGAGACCAGAAGAGAGCCTTCTTCCCCTTTGCTCCAAGAGGCCCCTCCCCGTCCTTCAGGTCCTCTATTTGTGATCACCGGGACCCCCCTAAGGTGGAATATGAAAGGCTCAGTAGTTTAGACTCACATCTCGACACATGAGACGGTACATAAGCTTTCTGTGTGTAGCTTTGTCAGTTCAGCTGTGTGTTTGAGTTCCAGCTTCACGTCTCTTTACTGCTGTACTTTCTACTTGAAAGAAGTCTGCTTGATGGTGGTGTCTATCTATTATGTGTTCAAATGAGACTACCACGCTCATTTCTTTTTAGAAAAAGGTTTGTTTTGTTTTATGTATGTTGATGTTTCGCCTGCATGTACGTCTGTGTATCGCATGGATGCCTGCTCCCCAGGAGTCAGGGGAGGGTACAGGGTCCCTGGAACTGAGTTCAGATGGTTGTGATGCTCTGTGCGGGTGCTGGGTGTAGAACTGGCTTCTCTGGCCCTGGCTCTTCACTGCCGCTGTCTCTCCAACCCCTACACTCTAAACTAATGAGCAAAGGAAGTTGGGACTCAGCTTGGTTCACTATAACTGTAGACAATGGAGAATACGGCGAAATAAGTCTTAGTCATAAGATTCTAGTTGCCCCTGGCAAATTCTATATACTTTTGATGCATTTTCTCCAAGGCCAGGGCTTCATAATTAGACAGTAAATGACAATAAGTGGTGCTGAATGTCTTTTTTATTTTATTGTATGTAGTAGTCATCTATCTTAAAATCATAAAAACAGCAGAAGTAGTGTTCAGAGCACCTGTGACAGTACGCCACCCTAAAACAGGCCTTTGGAGAGGAGACCACGACTCTCTCGGTGCTTCTTGTGGTCCAGTTTCTTCTTCTAAAGACCCCTAGGGTATATTTTGGCAAGTAAATGAATGTGATCACCGTGTCTCTGTGGTATTGCAGTCATGTGGAAAGGCTGCCGTTAAAGTTGGTGGTACTTACGTTCTCGTGTTTCATTGACTCTGAGATGGAAGCAGCTTCCCATTTGGAGATGAGTCCCTTTATGTAGTCCACAAACTTGCACTGGCTGCCTGCCCTCAGCCTCCCGGATACTGGGATTCCAGGCCTCCCCCACCACGGCTAGTCTGTAGCCCCGTTTTGAAGGTGTTACGGTGTGAGTCTTGTGAAGGTGCGGTGTAGTTACAGATGACAATGTGTCTCTGTCCAGAGATACTCAGAATTGGCAAAACAGTGCCGTGAAATCTGCCAGTCGTATTTTCTCTATATATGATGTTTTCAGACCAGTGGACGGTACTGATACTCGCTTGTTTTGGGTTATGGATCTGCTGAGTGCCTGTGGAAGCTCTGGACTTCTTACAGTGGACAGCCAGATCCCAGAAGAAGCTTTGCTAAGGAAATGGTGCACTGGAGCAGAGTTCTGACTGTTGGTTGCTGCTCGGGCAGCTGCGTAAGGAGACTTCTTACTGCATCATTCTCTGCTGAGAAGTGGAAGCTCTTATCTGCTGTTAGAACAAGGACGGTGGGATAACCAAGCGAGGGGGCAGCGGAAGAAAGTGAGGAGTGAGGGCTGTGTGGGCAAATGCGCCTCTAAACCAGGGCAGGTCGGACAGCAGAGAGCCGGAGGCTGGCCGATTGAACGGTGAGACAGGTAACAGTTTAACCCTTCCCTGGCGTGTTAAAACTATTCCTTGTGTTCCGTACGTGCATTCTTTTTAAAGACAAGATCTCACTGTGAGTCCCTGGCTGGCCCGGAGCTCTGTAGACCAAGCTGCTCTCAAACTCACAGCCGCCCCGTGTCTGCGTCCTCGGTGCTTGGATTGATGGCGGGTGCCACTGCACCTGGCTGTGCACTCTTCATAGTGCTCCAAACCTCTGTGTGTTTATTGTTTTTTTTTTTTTTTTTTTTTTAATAAAAATAGAGCATCTCTTAAGTTTCTGTTGCGATTGCCTAGCCACCGTAATTGTAAGGAAAGGGACGTTTGGGTCTTGGGAGCGCCTGTTTGCTGCGGGCCGTACTCTGGGAGCAGCGCTAGATGGCTCGGAGCGGCCCCCAGTGTTCCCTGCCCACACTCTCACCAGCTTCTCAGGCCTCACCTGTACCTTCTGCATTTTTCTGCACACGCGTGTGTACGTACAGATGGAGGCCACAGCTGAAGCCTTTCTGTGAACCCGGTTTCTTAGTTTTCTTAGGGAAACTCCCGCTTCTGGTAGTGATCACTCCTGTGTCCCTTTGGAGAGAGCTCATCTTTCTGTGTTAGCCACGTTAAACGCTGGGTTAGTGGAGAACTCGGAGAGCTGCCCGACCCAGTGTTCACGGCTGCTTTGAGCATGGCCGTGTTGGAGTCACTCGCCGAAATGACAGAGTTCGGTGTGATTTTCTCTGCACAGGGCTCAGTGGAGGGCATTGTGCGTGTTTGCCGCGTGACTCGCTGCTGTGCTGATGGTCTTCCCCTGACGAAGTTACACGATCGTTGTGTTTGCGAACATACTGTAACATTTCAAGCTGTGTCTTTAATTGATCTTTTTGATAGTGACGCCAGGGAGGAAAGCCATCGTCAGAGTTGCTGCTTTAAGGTGGCTGGTTGCACTCCTGGCCGTCTTAGGCGGTTGGTTTCTAAAACAAAGCACAACAGAAATTGCATTCAATGGTCTTTCTTCACCCATTTTCTTTGGTCTTTAATAGTTAATTGATGAAACTTATCGTTTATCTTTAAAGTATACTATTTTCTTCTTTAAGGTTTTTTTAAAAATAATTCATTTAATTTTATTTTATGTTATTGGTGGGAGGGTGTCAAACTCTTGGAACTAGAGTTACAGACAGTTGTGAGCTGCCATATATGGGTGCTGGGAATTGAACCAGAGTCCGTTGGAAGAGCAGACAGTGCTCTTAACCACTGAGCCATTTCTCCAGCCTTCTTTAAGGTTTTAAAAGAGCTTCTGTGGAGGCAGCCTAAAGCCATTGACGTCTCCAGACATGTGCCTTACGCTGACACACACGCTTGTACACACCTGTTTGCGAGCATCTCTTGCATCTCACTGGGCATGTGCACACCTGTATGTTGCTGGTCCCCAAGTCTCTGGAGAGGGAGAAATGTCAGTGTGCAGCGTGTTCGTGCAGGAATGTGAGGAAGCTGCGGCCATGCCTCGAGTGTGTAAGGAGTTCTGGAGATTTGATGATGAGATTCTCCCATCCCTGTGAGGAACTGTGCTTCCTCACCCGGCACCGCCCGCAAACACATTTCCCCCTCATTTTGATTCTGATTTTCCTTCTTTTGGGCGGGGCTTGGAGACCCTCCCTAACCTGGCTCTCTTTCAGGAAGTGGCCAGTGTGCAGCAGCCACAGAGTAGAGTGCCCCTGCTGCCTGCTGCTGTGTGCCCAAGTGTGTGGGGACAAGCCCAGACCACGGCCTCTGGTCCCTGTCCTTAACAGCTCGCTCGGGTTTTCGTGCCTGCATGTCCTCCATCCCCTTCCTCATCCGCCTCCTCACAGGGCTGTGTCTTCTGCTGCTCAGCTTGCTTTACGCCAACAGGCAAAGGAAGAGAGCTGTGGGAACCCGCCTGTGTCCCGCCCGTGTCCCGCTCGTGTCTCGGGCTGTTCCCAGCTCCCCGACGGCTGCCCTCGCCTGAGTGGAGGGTCATGCACTGCCCCCTCCCCAAAGCCATCCGTCCAGTACCTCACAGAACTTACCCTGTCTTAAGTGTATTCACGAATGTTTCCTCAGAGCAAATGGCTTTCCAAAAGTGATTAATGAAATGTATTAGTCAAGTTACCTTATGGGGTTGTTTCACGTGAGCACACTGCCGGGCAGAGAAGGAGGTGACAGCGGAGGGCACAGGCAGTGGAGGAGCAGGCCGGAACTCTACCCAGGCAGTCCTGCTGTTTGTCACACTTGTTATCCCCTTTCTCTTGTGGTCACATTCAGAAAGGTGAGCTGAGAATGAAGAGAGAGTGTGTGTGTCTCCTGTCACTTTAATCTGTGTGTGTGGGAAGAAACAGATCATTCAAAAGCCACATTTTGTTACTCTTTTCTTAAGGATGAAGAGGAAGAAATCAAACTGGAGATAAATATGCTGAAGAAATATTCTCATCATAGAAATATTGCTACGTACTATGGTGCTTTCATTAAAAAGAGCCCTCCGGGACATGATGACCAGCTGTGGGTAGGTGGATGCTTGCCAGCCTCTGTCTGGGGTTCTGTGCTGAGGGAACTGAGTCGTTCACAAGAAACATGGAGCCAGGAAGAAACAGCAACCAAGGACAGCAGCTTCCTCCTCCATGTCTGTTCTGTAGGAAAGAGACGAGTCGTGGGAGGCCGACTCACAGGAAGCTCTTTGATAGAAAACGCAGTGATCCCTCTTTTCTGTTTCACACTGAGGTAAAAGAGACATAAAGACAATTCCTTGTTGCCTGTTGCTTGTTAGTGACATTAATGATTGTAGTTTATTATGGACAGTTAGTTCCATGGCGATTTCTGAACTGACACGTTCAACCGTTAAAGACAAAAAACCGTTTATCCTCACAATGATGACTGAGAGACTGCGGTCTGCGTGAGTAAACTAAGTGTTGGCTTTATGAGGCAAGAAGATAGGCTGATAACTTTTCCCGCTGACTTTTCGAAGGGTGATGAAGAGAACAGCAGTTGGCACAGACATGGGAGAGTGCAGAAAGGACGGGTAAATCACGGCCTCAGGAGCGAATCCACATAGTCGTAGCGACTGGCTTGTGACTAAGACGTCAGAAGCATGCCGTGGAGAACAGCGCCTGTAACAGATGATGCTTGGGATACTTGGAAGGAGCGAGGTCGCTCCCTCTCCTAATAGACAAAAATAGTTGAAAATGGGCTGGAGGTCTTCATGTAGGGTTGAAGCTGTGAGAGGAAAACCCTTCAAGATAAAGACACAGGCAAGGGTTTTCTGGAAAGGACCCCGGTAGTTCAGAAAATAATGCCAACAGTTGGCAAATGGGATTGCGTGCGATGAAAAAGTTCGGCACAGCAAAGGAAGCATGAAGAAATTAGCCTAGACGGGGAGACAGGCCTTTCCGGCTAGGCATCTGACAGGATAAATACCTGGAATATGTTCTAAAACACCAAAACCAACCCCCGGCCATGATGCAGTAACGAACACAGCCCTCAGATGATGCACACACCTCCAGCAAGTACCTGAAAAGGCATTCGGCACCCTTAGCTGTCACGAGAGAAGTCACAGGCGCCCGTGTGCACACGGGGAGAGGACTCACACACACTGCTGTGGGCTGGGAATTGTTTGGCCACTGTGGGCGCTCCTCCAAAAAGCTAACCGTTGCAGTGCCACGTGACCCAGCTATACCGGAGGGACCCCAGCATGTCTGACCAGGAGGTGTACACACACACACACACGCACGCACACACATATATATATACACACACACATACATACATACATACACAAGCATACACACACATACACACATACATACACACATACACACACACACCACACACACACATATACACACACATATACACACATACACATGCATACACACACACACATATACACACATATACACATAAACACACACATACACACACATACACACACATACACACACACCACACACATACACACACATATATACACACACACATTCACACACACACACATGCACATACACACACACATACGCACACACACACACACACCTCCTGGTCAGACATGCATAGACGGCATTCTCTTTCTACTCAC